ACAGGCAAGCATATTTCAAAACGAAGGTGTTCATCTCATCATTTCCACTATGTTGACTTCTTTGACGACCTCACTTTCATCACAACAGCGTACTTATTTATTGCTATCTCTCACCTTTGAAGAGAGCCCTGGAGAATGTGTTTGTCTTGCATCACACTTGTTTGTTTAGTCTGCAAATGACGCTGGAGACAAATTGTGCCTGTCTGTGTAAACTGGCCAGACACACCGACGCAGCCTGTAGTTGCCAACAACACAGAACACACACACACACTCTCTCTCTGTCTCTCTCTAACCTTTTTTATCAGCAACTCTCTCTCCTGGATTGTTTACTTTTTTTCTGTCTAATAGGTAAAATGCAGAACACAGTTTAGGTAATACATTCTAAAAGAACAGCAGAACATGAAATACTCCCCAAGCAAGTCATCTTAGTCTCACTGATAGTCCGGAACTGGTACTGTTATCTTTGGACCCAAATTATTAAAATGAGTCATACTAGATCAATTCAAACACAAGCCACTGCGATCACTAAAATATTGTGTATTACCATATATACATATAGTTTGACCGACCTGTGGCTGTAGAGAATCGTCTCCTTTCAGACTTTAGTCAGAGCCACACCATATTATAACAATGAATCTATATAGTGCAGCTTATGACAGAAAATTATTCCCTCAAAGAGGCCTGGGTGAATCACTCCATAACCTCTGCTGTGCATATAATTAGATTTTTTCCAGATGCATGGAATATCAGCAAAATTCAGTAACTCAAACAGCACCCAAAGGGCAAGGTCTGCTTTTTTATTTGCACCGAGAAAGTAAGTATTCAGGTAAAAGGGGAGGTGAAAAGCTGAAGCACACAAACACATCATTAAGCTTTATATCCTTACTTCACTCTGCACCTGGCTCAAACAAAGTCAGGTGATTGTTCAAATAAATACAGAAATGTTCAGAGAAAACAAGAGAAATGATCTTTTCGTATAAATTAAAACCAGCATACTAATAATTATTGATGAGAATGGAAATACATAATTTCGAACTATATTTGTTTTACTGAAAAACATGTAAGATGCAATTAAAGAGTAATCCTTAACTCCACAATAAAGCAGTTTAAGTATGAAAGGATCACAAAGTGGTATTTGAAAACCGGGACAGGGTTTACCACAAGAGAATCGTCTGTTAGTTTAATAATTTAATAATTATAATTTATTATTTAAATCATAAGTCAAAATCTGTCAACATTGACAGTGGACAAATTGATGTTAAAAAGTGTCACACATGTATTTTTATTCTATCCTTGCCATTTTAACATTAATATTCAGTTAAACATTTAACATAAAAAATTCAACTCAAACGTTTGACGGTACAACTGTCCCCATGGTTCTTGACATTTACTGAAGAAGACAGGTCAATAAATGAAAACATCTCTCAACGTAGCAAAGGGTCAGGGAGGTTTGGAAAGTTAAACAGAGAGACAATCAAGAACAACACTCCCCTGACTTACTGATGAGTGTTTTGTCAAAATGCTTATTTTAAAGTGGCAGTTCTCTTACTGTTGTACAGAGCAAGTGGAGGAAAACGTGTTTTGACTCCTTGACGTCTCTAACGTGATGTGTCCTCCAGTGGTTCGAGGTGGTTTTGACTTGTAAGTCAGAGCAGTTTCTTTAACCTTGTAATTCCTTCAGCAGATGGAGAGACAGGCAAACAGCACCCACTCCCCTACGTCAACACTATCTCTGCCCCCACTTCAACACTATCTCTCCTATATAGACAGGCACCTTCCGTCTTTCAGGCCAGTAACATGGCAACAGGAGTCAAAAGGCACCCGTGGCCAATGCACAGCAGAGTGCTGCCATTTAGTTTCCCTGTAATGCCAATGTTTCATTCTCTTGGCCCCTCACCCCACCTAGGAGCATGAACGTAGTCCCCTTGAATGTCCTTGCTTTTTAAGCTTCCCAAATTCAGAAAATGCAACGCCACCACAAGGACAGAGAAGATAAACCTACTTAAATGAACTACTCACGAGGGCAATGAGACTCCAAACTCAGTGGGAGAACACACAGGTATCAGGTCACTGAACTGGCACATTTTAAAGTACGAGTGTGAGTACTTGAATGTATAGTGGTTGATAGAGCTGCTGCTGTGGACATGAGTGGATACCTAATTGAAAGTAACCACTGTTTATTTACTTGAATGAAAGTGATGTAGGAAATACTGATAGAGGGCATTAACAGCATCAGATTACCACATTTTAACCACACTCTCACTGCATTATTACGGTGATTTTGAAGATGTAAAAAAAATCTAATGATATATAATAAAGACGTATGATGAAGACAAACATAAACCAGTAAATTTGGGAGAAATAGTATGTTGAGAAAAATCAAAATATGAACTCGAATAATAATAAGTTGCTTTCATTCACCTTTATACCATTTATTGCAACACATTTCAGTAAATGTGCAGGACGTTGGATTTTGTGACAATGTATTTAGAACGGCAGTAGCTGGTTTAATTTTAGGTTTCTTTTCTGACTTTTCGGAGTCATGACAAACTAGCCTGATATAACCCGTGCTAGTGATTCATGTGCTGTGTGCTCTGGCCTACATTCGCACATTTAGGTTGTGTATCCTTTTGCTGTGCTTGTGTCTACGTGCTGAGTGTGTGTGCAACCACAGAGCAGGTTTGATAAGAGGTCTTGAGGGTTGTGGTGGACCATGCCTTCCTCCTCTCCATTCTCTTGCCTGCTCTATCCAGGCTAGCAGGCCGTCCTCATTACTGTCAGTCAGCATTAGATTTAGCAGTGCCAGGCTCTTGCACAGCTCTCTGTTGCCTCTGCCCTGCCAGCCCTAGCCTGTCTGACTGCTGTCTGAAAATCTTAAGACTACTGTCTGAAAAAATTACGGTCAACTCATAACTAGAAAAATTACAGTGCAAAACAGGAAGTTCAAGAAAGAAGAATCACATACTCATACACTCTGCTGTCTGTGGCAATTCATATCTTAAATTAATGTGCATACGTCCAGAGTGCAGTGAAAATATAATTAACCCAGCATCTGGGTTCATACTGAATTCATCTCTTCAACAGATAATAAATAGTAGGGGGAAAAATTGAACATTTTGACACAAAATAAATTTTCAGAGGAAAAAATTGCAGGAATTAAACTAAAGGTTGCCTTGACTGACTGCTAACTGGGCCACAGTGTGGGCGATTGTGTCTGACCACCAAACAAACAGTCATTCATATGTTGGTGCAGTGGCCCCATTTTCATCTGGAGCAGTTCCACTGAGGCCAGTGAAAGCAAAGAAGCTGATGGGTTGGGGATTTTAATCCATTGCCAGCCTTGGCACAGAAACCATTACCAGTGAGAGGAAAACTATTCTTGGTGACATCCTTTACATCAAAAAGCATTTCTGTCAGCTGCCCAGTTGTTAATTCAAAAAAAAGTGCAAAGAAAATAAATGTGCTTGTCATGTATGTCTGTCATCTTGTTTTGTCCTTAAGTTTGTTTGTATTGTTTTGCAATCAGGATCACATTGACTCTGTAATAGTGGACGTCAGCATCATCAGAGGAACAATGTTGACATTTTCTTTTAAATTTAAGGATCTTATCAATGAAAGAAATTGTATCCATGAAGCATTTCTTTCTTTAAAAAAAAAACAGATAGGACTCTCACATTTAGGGGTTAGGGTTAGGATTTAGGATTAGGATTAGGATCTTATCCAGTGCACTTGTTAAGCATGGCTCCTTTCACAGTTAATGGAAGGTCTATCTATATATCATTATAGATATTAGCGGACATGGGATTTTACTCATCAGTTACTAATCATTAACGATCCTGTAAATTATAAGTGTGTTGATATGTGAAGTGCACCGTGGAGCAGTAAACTGGACGACTACATGGCACAAATTAAAGGAGCAACTATTCAATTTTATATGGTTGCCTCGAAAGCAGAGGAATCACTAAATTCTCTGATTTTTCCTCCTCTAGTGTGTAGTTGAAATATCATCTGTTACATTAAAAAGTGCAGTATTCAGAAAATTGTTCACACTGTGTCCACAAAGTATTGGGTGAACATATAGCAGCATGTGATCACACATTGTTAATTCATCATTTAGAAATGTATTCAAACCTTTTCCAACCTCTATCAAAGACAACTGTAATGCAGAGAACTTGATTAGAGTGCTGTGTCCTAATCTTTTTTACCTGCTTTTATTTTGTAAAAGCTACCTAGAAACACTCTGGTCATGGAACTGTGGAGATTTCCACACAGCTCAGGAAAATCTAGGTGGCTGCATCTGTAGATCACAGATCATCTACATTTCTGGTATGGATAAAATGATCTGGATAAAGGCAGGTCTACTGTTCCTCCTACCTGTCTGCTTTAATTTAACTGGTTGGAATAAAATTAATTTTTATGCAGCCAAACTTTCACTAACCTCTTCATTAAATAACATTTCTAAAAAGCTGCACATCAGATATTGGCATGACTTGACAGTGACACAGAACGTGATCTGGTTGAATTGGAACTGGGAGCTTTTTATAGACTAAATCCCTGCAAAAGAGGCAAGCAAAGGGCTACTCTCATCTCTTCACCTTCATTTACAAGGCTCTGATTGTTCTTTCATTTCATTGTCATAACAAGCCATTAGAACTCATCTCCCACTGAACTAGCCTCAGTCCCACTGGCAATTAAAATCATGCTGGGACACGTCATGGAAGCGTGTAACTCCAGTGTGAAAAACAAAGGCAGGTACAGCAGCAGTAATGACGCCAACAGCTGAGTGGTGAAGCTCAAGCAAACGTCAGTGGAAACTGCTTTTTTGATACTTCCAGAAATCACAGTTTTATCAATATTTCACCTCTTACCCTTCCTTACTGTGTAGCAGTACACTCAATACTGTTACAATTACCACATAGAAAAGGTTCAAACTTGGGTGATCTAGTGACAATAATGTAATAATTTTCTTTAAGCAGGGTGATTGACCAATTTATTCTTACCTTAGGCTGGGTACGACGGGGAAAGGCAACCTTGGGATCAATCTGAGTGTGAGAAAAGAATAGCAAAAATGTTGTTAAAGCAGAAACTAATGTTTCAAGTATGAAGAGGAATGAACAGGCATTTAAATGATTTTAAAAAACAGAGACTTAATAAATCTAACAGAGCAGAAGAGAAAGTGTTCAAGATTGAAGGTACAAAGAAAACACATCCTAGCCCAGCGAGAATTCAAACTCTCACACAGCAGAAAACACATTCAGCATTTTGAAATGAAGATTCACTGACTCACTGTCTTGACTTCTTTCTCACCTGATCTTTGTTAGTAGTATAGATCATTTTAGTGAGCCCCCACCACCACACTGAAAAGACCACTGTACCTAAAACATTCCGGTGTCCATCCTGTTCATTTGGCCATTTACAATAGTCCACTGTGTTGCACCTTAACACGTGTACAGTCAGTGGTTCGAACTTGCAATAGAAAATAATGGTAGCTGTATTTTTTATTGTTTGGTAGTTCTCTGCAGGAAGTCACATCATAATACTGTCCAACACTGTTGTCATATTCTAAAGCAGAGCGCTGCCCATGACCACAGCAGAGATTCACCTTTATCTTAGTCAAAAAGGTTCTGATTGAATATGACAGGAAGAAAATGAGAGTCGGGGTTTGTAATTTTATTAGCTTAATTTACCTCATTAGTTTTCTGCGAATGAAGGTATGGAATAGGATGTTTCATCTACTGGCAATTACATCACGAGCAAAGAAATGGATTCCTTTTTTAAACAAAAAAGTCAGTGAGGCTAACTATATTTGTTGAACGCCTATGAAGCGAAACCCCGCTGCGTTCTATCACTGTCATCTGTTCTGCCAATCTCCATAATTACAATGATCTTTCCAAATCAGGTCAAATGAAAAAAATGAATTCAATAACACCTGAGTGTGTCAACCGCGTGTAATGAATTTCACTTTAAAGATTTATTTAGCACTTAGCCCCGAGCATAACTAATTTAAACTCAATTATTCTGTTCACATTATTTGAACAAAGATAACAAAGTATGCTCTTAGTACAAAGGTCCTACGTTGCAGAAGAGGTTTTCTTGATTTTCAAACCCTATCCATGCCTGTTTACACACATCCTGCACAGGTTTAATGGTAAGTAATTCTAGATTTCCAAAAAAACAGGCACCAGCAATGCTGTGGTGCTTAAGGGTCACACAATATAATCTACAATGATTTTCTATGTGTAATCATATAACAGGACCATAGATTATGTTACACTGCATAAATCTTAAATGTGTACCTGAACTATAAACCGATAGCAAAAAGACAATGAAAAGATATTGAGTATGTGCACTGACAAGTTAGAACAGAGAGACTTTTAGTTCTCATCATACTGACCAGACTAAAGGATGCTATGTTATTGAACACTGAGCAATAGTAGCTGTGTAGAATATACTATATTCTCTCCATAATATCTGCCTACTTTTTATTTGTATGTAAATGCTTTTATTTATTACCATACGCAATTTACTGTATAGCATGAGGTAATCGAGTACATTTCCCCAGACATTACAACCTAACAAGTCAATGTGATGAATAAAAGGAGACCAAGAAAATCCTAGCAATCCCTACTGATCTGTTATCATCTTCAGCTATGCTGTGGGGTCTCAGAGGGCTGCCTCTGAATGGAACTGCGTGAGATCAGGGCACGTATCTGTTGTTTTCATCTTACGAGATGGATTTCAGCTCGTGGGGACACACTGTTCCTCTCACACACATGTACACACATTGGCATGACAATGACATGCCTTTTAATACACAAGAAGTGTTACCATGCAATATATGATATATATATAATCTAAGTGTGTGAGCACAGCCACAGGTGGGCTTATACCAATGAAGTTCAAATTATTTATTATTATTATTGGTGAAAGTCTTGCCATCACCATGACTAGTCCCATGCCTAAACCCAACCAACTCAAGTACTAACCAGTAGATTGTAAGGTCTTTGTACAATGAATGTGTTAATCCTATTACTAATTCAATTGTGATGGCTGTTTTTTTAATAAATTCTAACACATGGGCAGAAAGATAAAGTACTATACAGCCAATAATCCCAATCATTTATCGTTGCTTTACTACACAGCTAGCTTTTTGCACATATTGCAAAAACATTTTTTTTTTCATGAAGCTACTGGAGCTTAAAATATCACCAACGCCCAGCATGGGTTTTTTGAAGGCTTCAACTCCCAGTCAGCAGCCGGCTTGTGTCAGACCAGCTTCACGGGGCGCAGGGCAGTGACTAAGTCTATGGTTGACACCACTGCCAAATGGATTGTGAGGGACTGTAGACCAATAAATACTGTTGAGGTCCTTACAGACGTTCTGAAAGTTTCAAATCTGGACGCTGTCAAGATGCACAATATTGAAAAAGAATCATGACGTACAGTATATGAGGGAACATTTTGCTTTGTTTATATACCATACTACATACTTTTCATGACATTTTAACTATGATAATTACTATTGTCAGTTGGATAATTGACCAATATAAACAGGTGTGAAAAATTACTATCTACCTGCCGTTACTTGTCTTTCTGTTCCAGCAATAAACAGAGATGTTGAATGTTGGTTATTATGTATAATTATTAATTACTGATTTATCATGGTTTCCAATATACCTTTCCATAATTTGCCATATATCTCATAAAATGAACTTTGTCAGACCTATGGTTTCTTAATGAGGCCAAACAAATAAAATTCTGAATTCTATGTTTTTACAGTAGCAGCAATTTTAGAGGCAACAGCAATGTGGAAGTGTGGTTTCCATTCAGTATCTATACTATACTAAATTGCAGTGTAGCGTTACTGTTCTCTACAATATTATGTGATTCAGAACATCTAGTTGATAAAATACATGAAGTACCATTTTTATTTTGACAAAGGACAAAAAAAAAACACAAATTCTTGTCAGACACAAACAAAACTTGTATCAAACATTCATATCTGGAACTTCATCAAGTTCATAGTGATAGAACTGTTGAATTATTCCCTTTATTATTGCTGTGCAACTTCATGAAAGATGTGATGGATCCCAGAGAAATGCAATTTTGATAGTGTGAATGTTGAGATACACAACAGTGTATCAGATACAGCCCAGTGACTAATGATTAGGAAGAAAACACCGACAGCTCAGGGTTGTAATCTTCTCCCGCACACGAACAATAAACAGCACATTTGCGGCTTAAAAATATCAATCTCTTCATGGCATTTTATAAAACACCAACTTGTGCAGCTGGAAATAATTGTACAAACCCCAGTGTTTTGCAAACTGAAATATAAAATCTAGTTAGATTTCCAAGACGCTTTGACAGTATTGAAGCTCAATCCCTGCCCTAAATGTGCAGTTCCTACTGACTGACATGCGGTCCTTCATCACTATTGTTTAAATTAACTAAACTGCTGATGACCCCTAAAAGCCATGCTACTGCTAGTCCCAGTCATGGATGACAAAGTTCAGTGAATACACGTTGGTAAAGACAGCAGTGATTCTACTACAGTCATTGGTCATGACTGCGTTAGATATATACTTGTGCAGGTGAGTGAATAAGAGAATTATGTACAGTATGTGAGTCCTGACTAAATGCCCAAGATACGTTCCGATACAAATCTCTAAGACATAAAAAAAAGAAAATTGGAGTGAAAACGTTTTCAGAAGGCCACCTGGGATTAGCCATTTAGATATTGATATATATTTATATATTTCATTCAACTCCTGCACCAATCTGGCCACAGTGGAGACAGTGATTGCGGGATCTAAAGCAATAAAGGTCAGTGCTCCGTTCCTGAGCCAACATGGTGTCAAGCTAAAGAATTTGATGGAAGGTTGTCAAAAATGACCTATAGTATGAACTAGGTAAAATATGCAGCACTTGTAAAAAAAGAAAATGGCAAAGACCAAAGATAAATATACATTCGTAGTGCTACATACAACATTACAGATAAAACATAATGTATATATTTTTAAAAGTATTATTATTATATTTTACAATATAATAATTAAATTAGTTTCAGGCTTAGGTTTGCTCATTCTAAAATATGAGCAGGAAATCTGGGGACTTTGGCTTTGTAAGGAAATTCCTCTTAGCTGAGACATTCCAAACTTCCATTGTGAGCAAATGTTTTTCAATTTGAATTCAGTGAACATTAACTGGAAATGTTTTATTGCCCACCCTTCTGTCTAAATGTCTTCTTTGGAGAAAAATGGTTAACAAAGGACAACATCCATTTAAAAAACATTTTTAACACATACTTTTAGATCTTGTACATCTCTATAACCTAGGTTTGTTCAGTATCCTGTACTAAATAATTACAGATGCTGATGATCCACAGTCTGTCTAATATATTTCAAATGAAAAGGGTTAGAAAGAGAGACAGCAGTGAGGTTCATGAGTGGCAGTGCTGAGCCACAAAGGCACATGGGTAACAGGTGCTGCGTTAATCGGTTTGAAAAATTGCAATCTGAAATAAAAACCATAAACTGTGTTGTAATAACTTGTACAACACTGTAGGCACTGAAACAGAGTGTTTGGACCAGGGCTGTTTTGACAGGATTAATAAGGCGCTGTGATGCTTAATCCTGGGGGTATTTTGACCAAAGCTGTTACAGACCTTTCTTTAACACACAAAGGAAATGATTCAATAAGCAGAGAAGGGGGCACAATATGTCACCTTTATCAAATACAAAGAGAAAATCTTAATGTCCCTGTTTAAGACCCTTAAAAATACCCTGCAGATTATATTGCAGTGCATATACATTCTGAATTTTATGGTAAATATTTCAGATATTTTATATATTTTATATAATATTTAAGATCAAAATTTAAATATAAGCATCTATTTTAAGTCGATATATTTTCTACATCACATGAGTCAGTGCCTGTCATTGAATTTAAGAAACAGCAGGTACTGATTCCTGCAGTGCTGTTAGTCTCTCTTTGGATTACCTCTAGAATTACTACTAAACTACTACTATTAATACTACTTACTATTACTACTACTACTACTACTACTAAACAAGGAGGAGTCACTCTAACTTTACTTTGTATGTGGAAGCACATGATGTATGTGCAGAAAATAATGATCACAACTTGATGAAACCTTCTTTAAGGGGCAAAGTAATTTGCATAATACAAGCCTTCACCAGAATAGATAGCAGGCAGTCATTTGTAGGGAAGAACTAATTAGCTCTGGGTACATGTCCATGTACAGTGTGGTGGAAATGCAGTGGTAGCAGCTAGTTTGGCTTAACGTGGACTTAACGTGTAATGTATTTTATAACAAGGGCAAATGGGTGTTTCAGCCATCTTAGAAGTAATCTGCATTATTTTTTCTATACATTCCTGTAGTACTTTGGTGCAAGTCAGGGATAAACTGCACAGCAGCAAAATGTCACTCATCATACTTGCATATTAAAAATGGGAGCTAGAATCTTGTCTGCAAGGGGGTTTAAAAACAAAACTGACAGTTATAATAATGTGCACACTCGGTAAACAGTATTAAGAAAGGCCAAAATCTGTGCATCTCAATCACAACTGAATCTGAACAAGAGAATTATTGTCTTGAATTAATTATTTATCTTCTAATCATTAAAGCCCTACAGCCTAAACTGATGACTGATGATAAGGAGTAGCCATCTTTGAAATAACTTTTAATGATCGGTTGTCCAGTGGAAAAAACCCTATAACACACAAGACACATTGAGGGTTATCACACACTTGTGTGTATGCCTATTCCATGTCAAATAAACAAAGAAAAAAGAACCCTGAAAAGGATTCAATAGAAGAACAATGGAACGATTCGATGAATTATGATCATATATTTTAATTTAACAATTATAAATTATAAATTTATAATCAATTATAAATTAAGCACATAAAATTAAAAATAGAGAAACGCTCATATTTACATTATATATTTCTGGTGTTGTCAAAATAATGTGTTAATCAGATAAATCACTGCAATCAAATAGATTTTCTAAACATATTTCAAATTTAGATTAAACATAAACTAAATAAACCTTTAAAAAAGATGTCGACATTAATGAGACAACAAGGACATGCTGGTTTAAAAATCGTAGTGGCAGCAGTGGTTCTGGGTATAATATGTCTCAGTGCAGCATGAGGTCCGTTCACAGTGCAAGTGTATGGCAGATTCAAACAGCCTGTTTGTGCCATTCATGCTGAGAAGTGAAAGTGAACACATAATATCCACCCTGGCATCTAGTGTTGACAGGAGCCTTGTAGATTTTAGGCCACTGTCTATGACCTTGAATTGAAAGAACTTTACCTGCAACAAAGCACTTCGTACTGTATAAGAGGCAAACACAAGTGTTCAAGCTTTTCACTTGGGATCTTTTATTATTTTTAAGATGTAATAAATTTAAATAGCAATTTATTTACTGTATTTATTTCTGTATTATTTGCAAATGTATGTGCATTCTGGTGTGTATTACACCAGCATGTCCTTGTTGTCTTTGGATTCATATTTTTATTAAATTGAATATATTGCTTTTATGCAAAAAAAGAGAGATGTCTTTGATAGATTAGGAAACGCTAAATGTTTCATTTTTCACCATTTCTTATCTCAAAGGAAGTAAAGAATGTATTAAACCTATAAGAAAATAACTGTTAGCTACACACACAACAGGGAAACAATTGAACACTGATATGAAGGAAGAACAAAGGAAACCATACCGTCTTAGAGTCTAATTCGTGGTGTTGTTGAGCTAAGACTTTATCTACAGTGGCAGCATCTGTGAATGTGACGAACCCAAATCCTCTGTAAAACAAGGACAAAAAAAATGCTATTAAAAGAATGGTAAAATATGTAAAAGCAGATCACGTCATTTTTCTATACAAATCAGCACATGATCTCAAAAATGTATAAACAGTCAATAAATACAATGACACACACAAACATTCACACAAGAGTTATCTCACATGAAAATCATGTATGTTGTACCTTGGAATTTTACAAATAATCTCACAAATGCTTTTACTACTAACATCTTTCAACAGCCATAACATCTTTATGGCTGTTGAATGCTATTGGTACTCAATCACTGTTGCCTTTAGTTGTTCGTCTCATAACACTGTTTTAATCAATTGGTATATTAGTCCAGTTCCTCAGAGTTCGTCTTGTGGCTTCCAGGTCATACCGTGCATACCACAGACTTCTCTGTGCACTGGTCTGTGCTTGGCGTCATTAACCGTGTTAAAGTCTGAGACTTGCACACTGCTATTATAAGCGAGATCATTTCAAGGGCATCATTCCTGCACCTGTATGAGTATGTGTACATGCATTTTCTTTTTTTTCTTTTTTGCTTGCATCTTGATAATGTTCTTTGAACATCCTAAGGTGTTTTGAGAACAAATACATGCACAAATTTGTATGCAAAATATATATTATTATATTCTATGTATATATATATATATATATATATATATAAAGTTTATACATATATTTTTAGTAGAACGGCAGTGCAGTTTTGTGTTACCACATACTAATGACATTTAAATTTCTGTTATACTTTGTATTTGTTTATTTATTTATATTAACAACGACGGACACCCTGCGCGTCACACTAAGGTCATTCGCCCTTAATATCACTGTCGTTATAATTGTTGCTGTAATTATTGCTCTTGTTTGCTCTTTATCTGTGCTACAATGTGGAGGGCACTCAGACACACTGATATTCGCGCTGCAGCAGCATTCAAAAAGTCAATGTCAAATTGGACACGGTCACAGATTTTCCAGCATCAGTGGAGAGATTTTAACCTCATCTGACTGGCTGTGAAATCGCATGCAGGAATTACAGTGAACCCGCACAAAGTAAGCAGTGGCGGTGACATGCAGATGACAAGCAGAAGTGAGGTTAAAGATCCACGAGCTTTACCTTGAGCGTTTTGTCGTGGGGTCTCTCATCACCATACATTCCCTTATTTCACCGAATTTACTAAAATAGTCTTTAAGGCTGTCTGTAGACACAGAGAATGAGAGAGAGAGAGAGAGAAAGAGAAAGAATGTCAGGGTCATTCGAACAGGACATGCTGTTGTTTCACACATACACAGACTACTAAAAAACATAACAGTGCATCTACAGGGGTCGAATAGAGGACTTGGGATCAAAAATAACTTAGTGCGCACACACTAGTCACATATCACGTACATTATCGTTACACCAGTGCACCGTCCACATTCGCTCACACGTATATACTGAAGCCGCCGCAGCTCAGCTGAGCGACACACTCTCACTCTCACTCTCTCTCTCCCTTACAAACAAAAAGAAAATACAGGACACGCTGTCAAAGAGGAGAAGACTCTCACCTGGTGAGGTTTGCCAGCTCAGGCCACCGATAAACATTTTACTGGAGGAGGAAAACACGAGAGAAGTCAGTCCAGATGTCAGTTCGGCCATTTTGCACAACTAACTACTTCAAAAAAGCGACCTTAAAGAAAACGGAAAAGACTACATGGGAAAAAAACATTGGCGTGAAATAACTACGGTCTGTGTGTACATAAAGGCGAGCGGAAGAGGAGCAAGAGAGAAAAGAAAAGGGGGAGGCGAAGAGTCTCGCCGCAGAAAAACGTTTTTTTAAACTGCGTGTGGAAAAAAAAGAAACCCGTGAAGCGTTTAAGTGCGCACTGGAAAACACAGAAACACCACTTAATGTTAACTGAACTCCTCTCTAAGGATGAGATAACAATGTGAAAAAGATTCTGAAAACTACTGAATTTGTAAAAAAGCAAAAATATAGTCTTACCCCGGGTCATGTTGCGAGTCATTTAAGCTTCCGGATGTGGCTTGACTCCCGTCTCCTTCCATTATCTATTCCAAACTATAATAATAAGACCACACCAGACAGTGACAGACGCACACAGATACTACAGAAGATAGACAATACCCCGCTATGAGAATATTACTGAGCCGGGAATGAAAGCGTCACACGTGGGATCAGCTCAGCCCCCTGCTGCCTCCTCCCTCTCTCTGTCTCTCCCTCTCTCCCTCTCTCTCCGCGCGCGTTACCTTGGCCTACAGGGGGCGGAACCTCCCCCCTGCCACCTAACCAATCCAATTGACGTCAATTTAGGCATCAGCAAACTGATGCCCTGATTTGGCATTTAATTAAGCTCTAACCCACTCTCATTCCAGGTGGGCTATTGCTTTTCGCGTACGCGCTGCAAAAACATCACTTGCCAAGCACGAAAAAAAACGTTTGTCCTCTTCGTATTGATTTTACCTGTAATAACATATTTGTATTGTCAAATTATAATTCAAACTGGATTTGCTTATGTTAAAATTTGTTTTTGTAATTTGCTGTTTAGTTTATTTAAGAAAAACGTCTAGTGGAAAGTGTTTAACCGTTACATCTATGTTGTCATTTAATGTGTCATTGAGCAGACACTTGTAAAGCAGTTTACAAGTGTTATCTGTACTGTCTTTTGAATTTTATGTTTTTATTTTTTATTTTTTACCATCATAACTTCCAAAAGCTTCATGTATCAGTTTTATGCTCAAGTTTTGTATTGGAAGCAAGTATTTGCTCAAATTTGCTATTCAGATAAGTGCTTTATAATACTAGTCTTTAATACAGGTAATATACGTACGACTAACTACAGTATTTTTTCTTTGAAAAGCATTTTAAGCTCGTATTTGGTGTTCCGTTTTGTGTTTGTTTCCCAACAAGGTTCCTAGGTTATCTGCCTGGTCGGCCTTGTCCAGCCAGTGCTCATTAATCTCTCTTTGTCAACTGGCCAACCTGCAGATATTCACTCTGTTCTTTTAGCCTGAACTTCTGAGGCTATAAAAAAAATCAATCAAGTATAAAGAGACAATAAAAATTTATGTACAGCAAAATTTGTGTGAACTTTTGATTAAAATAAAAAAGGCAAGACTTTAATGAACTCTCCCAAAATTTGTGTGAACTTTTGATTAAAAAAGCCAAGACTTTAATGAACTCTCAGTTTAATTCCACAGTTTTCAAATTAACAAAGTGACATATTTCTATATGCACAAATAGGTATAGTATTTATTTATTTATTATTTAAGGACAATCAGATTGTTGACTTGTGACTGACATTGCTTTTGTTGGAGGGATGGGTGGGTGGTTGGGTGTGGGGTGAATACGGTTAATAAAGCTTGCTTAGAGGCTCGAGATTTGAAAATTGTCTTCCCCTAGTGTCCTGCATTTCACCACTACAGTATTTCGGGGGGGTTTCTGCAACAATTATTCAACTATAACGAGGCTAGATTGTCATATATGATTATTTAATATTATGATAAGGAATGTTTGCTTACCAGTGGCTTTGAACCTGGTCTTTAGAGTTTCCTGTTGAGTGGCCGTCCTGCAATAACATTTTTTAAACTTATTTTGCTTTAGATATATGTATGCAAATGTACCATCATTTGTGACTCCAAAGATTCCCCACTGCTGCATGAAAAAGACAACAACAATCAGCCCACCACTCGAACAACTCATGACAATATCATTTACCTGGTGAGATAAGCTTGTGTCCCTGCTGCTCCTTGAAATTTCCAGGCTGCCGTTTGTACGACTCCTGGGAGAACCTGGTTGCTACGGATGACGAGGAGTACAAGCACAGCAAGGAGCCATGCTATCAGCTGTACAGTCAGCATCAGGGAGAACCCTGTCCCTCTTGGACTTTCACAGAGCTCTGCCAAGAAATAGATGTAATACATGTTGTTCTCAGCAATGGTAAGTTGAGTTGTCACGTCCAATGGTTTGGACTTTTTCCTTTCACCAATGAGCTTAAAAATGTTGCTTTTCAACTTCTTTTTTTAACCCTCTGAGTTTCCTCTCTGCAGCACTCTATAGGTGAGAAGTGTGGCCTGTCTGGCACAGCATCAGACGTTCATCATCCACAGGCCGGGGGGTGCCAGTGACTCCGTATTGTGACCCCCTGAACCATGGTGTTACATGTTCTCAGCCCCTCACTGTTCCTCTGCTGTGCTGTCAGGAGGCAGCCAGCGTTTCTGTGTCACAGATGTTTCTGCATCGGAAATGTTTTCACCAAGGTCATTCATGCAAACATAGATTTTTTTTTACTGTTTGACTGAATGAAGGTGATTATCTTCAACACACATACTTTTGATTATTATTCATTATTAATTATTTTTAACATTGTCATGTAGGATCAAATTTCTGAAAAAATAAGTCTAGTATTTCTAGACCTAGTCACGCTGTGATGAAATAACTGATCCACTGTATTTGTTGAAAAGGAAGAGGAACAAAAAAATCGTGTTTATAATTTCCTGATGCCAGAAACAAGTTTTGAAGAACCTAACCTTCAACAGTCTGTATAATTATGTAAGGAAGACTAGTTTTCTCATGAGAAAAAAAAGTCCTATTAAGATTCAAACCTTCAGCAGGTACTGTCTCCAACCTACGATCCAGTTTGGCTGCTGCCTTTCTAAGTCTACCAAAAATGACAACTGATATACACAGGGTTCATAAGTTTCTGATCCAGGTTGGCACATTGGAATGGAACCTCCAGCGATCTGTCAAACCTCCTGCAGAGCCGATCCATTTTTAGACATGACTGTGCTGTGAGCCTCTGTTTGCTGAACAAACACCCATGTAAAAGCTCTAACACTGGTTATTTCACCAGGACAAACATCACCTGTTAAACTGCTGAACTCCTTTCTCTTCACCCATTACATTTCATTATTCATTTTCATTTTCTAAATTTAATCATAATAAGTAAGAAATAAAAAGTAAATTACTTTGCACTTTTTGTAGAAAAAAACCCCAAAAACAAGTATTTTATGCCATTGAAATGCTAAAAAAAATGTTTACATTTTTAATCAACACCACATTACTTTTTTATTGACTTGCTTTTCCCTTTTCTTTTTTTATTTGACCAGCAGTGTCCCCCTCTGGTGGTTTTCCCCTGCTTGCTTACATTGGATTTTAATATCTGACTATTCTAAGTGGATGTCATTCAAGGAAATTCAGTTCAACGTACTGTAATTCTTCTGAAGTCGACCACACCGCCTGACAAACGCACTGGGTTTAAATCTACAAAGTAGCACTGATAGTAACATTTCCCACAAATCATTTTCAAAGTAAGATATCACTCAGTTGCCAAGAAGTCAGACAAAAAGGAATCATCATATAAATGAGAACAAAACTTTTTGTTAAGCTTTGCATAAATGATCCAAAAGTAAGCTAACTCTTTTGCACAGCTTTATTTTTAAGCGTATCGACTGCAGCATTCACTGTATTATGAATCCCATTGTATTTTGGCACATGAAATGTGATTGCAGTGCTGGAAAGTAAAGTCTGGAGCGAAGCACATCGCTGCCATTTCTACTTAAAATGCAATCACAGTTTGAATATCTTAACATTTTACACAAATAAGCTGGAAATACCAAGTAGGTTAGCATTCCTGAAACGTTCCATCATCATGCAGATAATTTTTCAAGCGCCACTGAATCATGAAGGACACTCAAGTTGTTGATGTAATCAAAATGCAAAAGCCAGCACTCAGAAGTGTTGAAGATGGTGACACAGCAGTGCATGCTCTGCCCTCTGCTCCACAGTGCATTTGTCCTTTGCTGTTTTATACAGCACAAGTGATGGCTTCTGTACTTTCTTGCATTATAATGTCTCCGGAAGGACATGAACATGAATGGAAGACGATGAGAATTTTTAACAAGAAGTGGATGAAATATAAACTGTAAATCTAAACAAGTATCTGAGAGAACAAAATAATAAATAAATCTTAAAAAAAAAAATTAACTGGACAACATTTGACTAAAAAAGATAACAAAATAAAAAAAGGAATCCACAATTATTTAATGTGCTTATAAAACTCCAAATGTGCTCATAGACAAAGTACAAGGCCATAGACTGTTACCTGAATGTATAGTGCCATCATGTGCTTAATTTTAGGCATTACAATTTTGTGCGATTTTAGAAAAACGTATTTAATATAAAAATTATAAAATCACATTCCACAGAGGATGTTTTATTACGGTGTTATTTGGTTACGGTATTTTTTTCTTTCTTCTAGTGAGTTTAGTTTAGGAACAGTTGGCATACGTTTTAAAACGCAGTGCAATTAAATCTGATTCTAATTATAATTTTATTCACCAAAACATTTGTTTAAAAACCAAGGGCAAAGGTTTTAAAGATAATCCACCCTTGGCTAAAGGACTAAAGTATTTGTCAAATTAGTAATATTTCATGAACTGACTAGAACCAGACCATGCTACCCATGGAATGCGGAGCAGCTTCTAACTTTGACCTACAGACTACATGCAGGAAACTGTCCAGCAAAATCCAAGTTTGAAGTTTCATCACTGCTAAATTGACTGAGTCAGTTTTAGAATGGACTCATAATGGACTCGTATGCTGTGCATCATTATTAATGGCACATGATTTAGAATATAATCTATTTAGTACGACCTAAAATTAGGATCTCTGTAAGGTGCAGTAAATCTGATGAAAAGTATGTCATCGACATACAGCAGTAGCAGGTCAGAGGATGTCAGCTGAGGCAGTCCTTCATGCTGCTATGTAAAATGATAAAAGAAATTGATGGTATGTACAAAAAAAGAAAAAAGAACTGATTTAAGGACAGACATGCAGCTTAAATCAGCTGTCTTCCTGGCTGCTGTCAGACCCAGTCCAGTCCGGCTACTGTTCCACTGCAGGCCACAGGTGACTTCTGTGCGGTTCCGGAAACAAGTCTTTAATGACCTTTTCAGATGATGAGTTGTAGGATGAGCAGCAAAAATCTAACATTGTCAAGTGTGGGTAGCGAGGGGCAGAAAGTGAGAGGCAGGCTTCCGCTGTTGCTGATGCCCTTGGGGTAGGACTGATTTTGTCTCCTCACACTGCGGGTGCGAAGCGTGGTCGTTTTCTTTGTTTGACCGAAGCCACTGTTTGTTGTGGAGAATTTTTCTGTGCTCACCGACACGTCAGCCTCTGCTGCTGTTTCGGTGCGAATAGAAAAAGAGGACGTGCCCGTCACGTGGAATGAGTCAGGGGGTGAGTGTATGTTAGTGCCAGGAACTGGAGGGGACGTGGTGTGGAACATATGAATAAAAGTGTCGGGGTGTGCACTGGCAGGATGATGACCTTTGAAAGGGTAACCCTGTCCGAGCGTGACTGAGGTAATGAGCCGACCGTGATCGGGCCACCGCGGAGGAACACTGGTTCTGGGAGTGACGGTTCTCAGGTCCTGGGCGTTCGATGCCAGGGAGTGCAGGTCATAGGCCACGTGGTGCCAACCTCCTGTCCTGCTGGGATGTCCCTCTCCACAGACTGACTGGGTGTGACAGGGGCAGCCCAGAACTTTGGCAGGAGTGTGCTGCGTCCAGGAGAGTAAGTAGTTGATGTCAGAATAAGAACGACAGCCCCAAGGGTTGTTACCCAAAGTGATAACCTTAAGTGATGTCAACTTGTCCAAAACTCCAAAAGGCAGCATGGAGAAGCGGTTAGCGTGCAGGTACATGTGCGTCAACTTGGGGAGTCTGTCCAGAGAGCCTGGCAGCACCTTCACCAGCAGGTTGTGGGACAGATCAACAACCTCCAGGTTAACAGGCAGGTTAGTGGGCAAAGTCCAGAAGTTGTTGTGGCTCATGTTGAGGGTGCACAGGTTTGTCAGCGTGTTGTTGATGAAGATGGCTCGCTCCAGCTTGTTGTTGGACAGGTCCAGTGTTCGCAAGTTCCACTGGTAGACGGTGTCATTCTTGTCCAGCACCTGCAGACGGTTAGAAGCAGCGTAGAGCTGCCAAAGGGACCGAGGCAGGCCAGTGGGCAGGTGGTGCAGTCGGTTGTGAGACAAGTCGAGGACGCGGAGGTGGGTGTACATGGTGAGCTGGTCGTCCAGGTTGTGGAATCGGTTGTGAGACAGGTTTAGAGAGCGGACGTTGTGCTGCAGTCCGTCGGGCAGCAGTCGGAGTCCCCTCCAGGAGCAGTCCACCTCCCGGTGGTTGTGAGTGCAAGAGCACATGGAGGGACACGCAGCAAGGACATGTCGACCAAGCAGTAACACAACCACCGGGCCCAGGATGAAAGTTTGCAGAGAAAGCCTGAGGCGCACATGCCTGCTGAAACAACAAGGGAGAAATAAAAATGAGTACACTGTCTCCTCTCCGTGCACACGTTCGGCACAGCGTCAGAGCTCAAATTCTCCTCCAATGGACCTGAGCAGCACAACAAAAAGGATTACCTGTAAATAACAAAAAGTCCATGGTTTTATCCTCTGTTTTCATGCAAAGAAGTACACATACTGTATATGAAGTGAAAGTGAAAGTTAAGGTCAATTATTTGTCATTGTGACACAACACACCACTGCACACAACCAAATGGGACTTCTGCTTCTAACCCATCATCAAAGTGAACAGCTTTAAGCTCCTGTGTGGGAACAGTGTCAAGTGGTAATTTGGCAGCTGAAACCTTCCAGACCCGAGTCACTCACCCACCACTGCCCAAGATAAATATTTATGTTTAGTCAAATTTAATGTTTTTAAACTAAAATTCATGCAGGCCAGATAGAACCCCCTGACACCCTGCCTTAAATCAACTTGCACTACCTTTTAATGAAGATGCATAATAAAGTGAAACAACTATGCTGCTGGAGTGCCTTACTGATGCAGGATCACCATGAACTCTACATTGAAATGTTTTCCTTCAACATCTTCAGTCCAGGTCCGACATGGTCTGAATAACAGGAGCCAATACTACAGCCAGAAGATTCTTGTTCAACGATGGAGAAATTCCTGTAGTCATTTTTCTGGCACCGGTCTGTGTGTTTTGTCATCAGCAGCTTTCCCTCCAGAGTCCCCAGAGGGAAAATAGCTCAATATATGGGATGTGATATTGACTCCACGGAGGACTCATGCATCAGCTGGTCCTACAGCAGGCACGAGAAGCTAACGGTGCTGCACTGCTGAAACGGCAGGACACGCATCCCTGGGTGTGACTGAACACTCTTCTTATAAGACTTCTTTTTTTAGCCTCACAGATTTGCTTCCATCTCCTCTCCTGCTATTATGCTAAGAAGCAGCAGCAGCAGCAGCAGCAGCAATCACTGTGGTTTTTTTCTATTGCAGAATTGCCTTGGTGTAGGTGAATACTCACTTCAGTGGTCCAGTGCACATTTCTGAGTTTACCATCTCCGCCCTTCGCTGTCTGCTCCTTTATTCCCTTTTCAGAAGAATCAGCAGAAGATAAACAGGAGTAAGCACAGTCAGGCACTGCAGCTCCTGTGTTAACGCTGCTGTAGAGACAGGAGGAATGGGATGGGAGGGGAGTTAGTGTGGTGAAGTACTGTGGGGGGGGGGGGGGGGGGTGAGAAGATATAGATCTTTATACTAGTTGTGAATTTCACTGACCAAAGTGTCTTGATTAAAAACATAGTTTTGTTTTTGTAACAGCACTGACAGCTGTATGTACTGTATAAGTTTAACTGATTTCTTAAAATTAAAGTCACATGGGAGAGTAAAATACAGCATAAGGACAACTCCTAATTAGACTTAGAGTTTTCTTTCTTTTTATAGAAGATTTTATTAAAAATTGAAAAAATAAAGTTCTTAATTGGCCTGAAGTTGGCTATGCCAGAGGTTCCCAAAGTGAGGAGCGGGTCCTCCCTGAGGGCCATGTTAGATTTGGCATTTTGACCACATAGGACAATAAATAATATTTTCTCTTCTTTTTTATTGTTTTTAAATAAGACACTTTGAAAACTAATATAAAAATACATAAAATACAATGTCCCATTCCAGTAGGGTCAGAGAGGGTAAAAATAGACTAAAGGAAATGTGTTCATCTCTCTCTTCTTTTACCACATATTTTACACAATTAAAACACTACAGATTGAAATCAATATAAACTCCTTTGTGTCTCTGACCATTTCTAAAATGCCTTTGTTTCTGTGATTAAATCTCTGAAGTGTTTGATGATGTTGATACTCTCACAGATTTTGGAAACCAGCGACAACTGGTCGGGGTATAACTTTTGTGAGTTACTCTTAAACTTGAATTAGTTTTAAACAAACTTATAAAATAATATTATAAATCATTAATGGACATTAAAAAAACAGAACATTTAATTCAAATGTCACTGTGACCTGTTAAAGACTCCTTCCTTGTCTTTATTACACTACAACAAAAGGCCCTGGACTCATGACTCACCATCACTTTCCTTTCCTAACGCTCTCTCCCTCCTTCTTCTTCCTCTCTGTCCCTCCAGGTTCCGGTCAGCATAGGTTGTACCGCGGCCGAAAGGAAACCACTCAACTTGAGTTAATGAAAGGCTGACGTCCATGACAACGTCACGATCAGGAAGGTGACCACGCACAGGACCAGTAGAAGCCAGTGTGCTGTTCTGTTGGACAACAGTGAGAGCTAAAGGGCACAGTCTCTGCCTGTTAATTAATGTTGCCTTCATGTGCTCCTCGTGAGACAGCTCTTTGACTTTGTTAAGATGTTTATTTTTTTGATTTAGGCACTGCGACTAAATGATAAATGATGCAGAATATGACTTCTTACAGAAGGTTCTAAACACAGACTTGTATGGAAAAAACCCCATCATTCATCCTGATTAAATGCCATCAGAATGGACAGTTGACATTACATAATCACACACTTCCTCAGTTGCATAATCATGAGATCAAGAAACATAATTTTCTGTTGTATTTGTAAGTCAGTGAAATAAAAACACGTTTCTTAGACTTTATAAATTACATGTAACGTAGTCTAAATCCTCCTGCCAATCAGCCTGTAGAGCAACTCTGTTACATGTGCAGTAACAGGGAAGACCAGCGGAGTGAATAGTCAAATTGCACAAACAAAAAGAATAAGCACGAATGATCAAAAAAAAAAAAAAAAAATTGTAATTGCAATGCACATACAGATGAAATTGATGACTACAGAATTTCTCAGAGTTTCTCTAATAAAAGAGCTGTGAAAAGAACAAACCCACAGACTGACTGTAGGACAAAGCCGCCACACTTGGTCACGTCTTTTTCAGCTCCTGCACTGTGTACAAATACTGACCAGTGTACTGACTGTGTATTAGACGTTGCACAGCTAGTAGAGTTACTCCAGGCAGGCCTGGGAACCATAGGGAACACAGCAGGTGAGCAAAGTTTAAACACAGTTTATTAATCATCAATCTCCAAAAGGTGCTGGCAGTGATCAAGAAGGAAAACACAAGAATGACTGAAGTCACATGTACTGAGCCTGACCGCTCTCTTTGATCCACACTGTACCACATGGTCACCGCTCTGGCACTTCCTGTGGCACAGCAGCTTACTTCCTCCTCTGTTGATTGGAAAGAACCGCCTTCAGGTGTGCAGCTCATCAACCCAGGAATCAGCACAGCTGTGAAAGAGGCGCTCTCCCATACACACACACACACACACACACACACACACACACCAAAATGTACAAAAACTTCTTTGGTCCCAGACTCAATAATTTAGACATTTTCTTATTTGTATTTTGTATATTTGTACAAAGGTATTTTATTTGTTTGTGTACGTGCATTAGAGGGAAATCCATAAAGGTCATGGCATCAAGTAAAAGTCTGGAACAACAGCTTTGTCATGAACATTTCTATCCGAGTGCAAATCAGGGGGATAAACATTTTTCGATTAAAAAAAGAAACAAACAAAAGATTAAAGAAATGCATCAAAAATGGTATAGTTAAGCAAAAATATCATCTCTATCTCTAAAAAAAGAAACAAAAAAGCTGTTCCAACTGAATTTAAATAATGACTTAAAACTTTTAACAGTGAAATACAGACAATTACAAAACAACAATGTTTAAGAACTGGAGAATTGAAAACCAAATTTGACAAGTGCACGTTTTAGCAAATTACTGCAAAAACAAAAACTCTGGACTTTCAATGTTATAAAAATGAAGAAAGTATAAAACCCACACATATTCTACAGTGTGTCTATTGGCTCGTGCTCCGCAGCTTCAGATGTCGTGGATTCATCAGTTTGCTTTGACAACGCCTCCGTGTCTTTGTCTACCTTCTGACCCTCTTCATGTTCCTGTTTATCATCAGAGCCCACCTCTTCCTGAGTCACCATCAACATGCTGGTCTCCTTCGAATCAATCTTTGGTTTGCCTTTGTTTTTCCTGGCTGTTCCCATCCAGTAGTCAGAGTTGCTGATCAGCTCTCCGTCCTGGCTCATCTTCATCATCTTGATTTGTCTGTTCAGCTGCAACACCTTACACGACAGAATCAAAGTGGAGAGCAGCAGAATGGTGACCACTATGAACAGCCCGCCGATTGCAAAATACAGATTCAGACATTCTTTTCTGTAGCTCATCCAGGTGGGGGCAGTGGTGGTGGTCGTACGAAGTGGGCGAGGTGAAGGTGTGGCACTATGTGTGCTGTAGGCTGAGGTTGGTGTCTCCGTGCTCATCCTGCTGCTGGATTCAAATGAGTCAGTCGTAGCTCCTGAACTTCCATCGGCTTGTGTTGAGGGAACAGTTTCATTTTGACTTGTGCACTGAGCTCCGTGGAGCAGTGCACACAGACTGTAGACGAGAATGAATGCAGCGTTCATGTTGTTACCTGAGAGAGAAAAACATACTTTTTTTCAGCTATTTTAAATTTTTCAATCCACAATCAAAATAGTAGAAAAATGACATGTGCGGTGTCTGCACGGACAGAATGGACAAAGATGTTGAATATTGAGTCGTCCTCAGTCAAGGGTCAAGGTCTCTAAACAGTCCAGTGGGTAAACACATGTAAAGGTCATGCATAAAGGCTAAAATGCTAAAATGCTTTTTCTACACCATCTAAGTATAATGATGATATAAATCAATAACATCATTTGGACAGGTTTGGTGGGCCAGATTAAAAAGCCAAATGGGCCGCATCCGGTCCCCGGGCCATAGTTTGCCATATTTTTGGTTTATATATATATGTATAAATATTATATCATATATATGAAGTCAATCATTTTAGTGGAAAGTACGTTGTTTTTTTTTCATTTCAAATGGCTGTCCAAGTTCATGCTGATTGCGAGGGACTGAAGACCAGTTCACATTAATATTTTTGGATGTTATACTTGACATGATTCCATATAAAGAAGTGTGAACCACAAACATCTATCTGCTGTTATGTCTTTATTTGAGGACTGTTAGCTCATCAATGACATTACCCCATATCCTGTCCTGATAAAAAACCAACACAGATAACAACAACAAAATGTATTATTTACAATTTCAACAACCTCCATTATTTTGGTTTTAACATGGAACCCGTTAATGGTTAATGAAGAAAGAAAACAGTAACTTACTCTGTTGGTGGTCGCAGTCGGAGATTAGTCAAAAAGAGAGAGCAGAAAGGAACGTGGTAGAACAAAAACCTCACAGTTTGTCACAAGGAAGTGAGAGAATGAAACAAATTCAAATCAGTGAGTTACTACTTCTGTATTTCTGGTCTATAAGAAGAAAAGGAAGTGATGCATGATGTCCTGTGTGCTACACTGGTTGGTCAGTGAAGCAGTGAAGTAATGTGAAAAATGCTCATTTATGCTAATAAACCCAGAGCACGTATTCATTATATTATGATAGATGATATAGTATTCATATGTATTTATTAATGCACATGGAGAGATCTGATCTGCTTTAGGCCTGGTCTGAGGATGCTTCATACATTTATCTTCACAAAAAGAAAAATATATTCCCTTTAAATAAGTTTCACTTTCACTGTTGGCAAAATCAGATTAATTTCTGATCTCCACATGGTATTGAACCACTCCGACTGAAGACTGAAAACAGCCAACGCTGCTACAGAGTCTTCAAATGACTGGGATGTAATTCACTGCAATTAACATTTTATCAAATCATAAAAGTCACCAGCAGAACTCAAAGCCCCTTCTCCTCCTTTTTTCTCTTTAAAATATTCCCATTTGCTATAAAGCGAAGAAAAAAAACACACCTCATGTCATGGTGTATTCAGGGTAAGAAGAATTGAACCAAATATGACTAATGCCTGGTGAATAGTGGGGCCAGTGTAATAACTGATGGGTTTTTTCCACTGTTGGCGATGACTGGTGTTGTTAGGACTCAGCAGGCTGGAATTATGACAGGCGTGTTCGGCTGTAAATCTTCATTTTAAAAACTCAGAATAGCCACCGCAGACCCCAACCATACCGAGAATCTTCGGTATGTACTGGAGGCGACTTCATGTGACACTGACTCTACTCTCATTAAATCAACATTGTTGGAGAAAGTGAAGTAACTCAGGACATTTTTAACAGTCAAAACGTTCTGTGCTGTTACAAATCTATCCATCCATCTATCCATCCATCCATCCATCCATCCATCCATCCATCCATCCATCCATGCTGAAAGTGTAGAAGGAGGATTCCACAAACACAGGTTTCTACGGTGACATTCATCTAATCCCACCCCAAAAATTAAAATATTTAATTATTGATGTATCAAAACTAAACCAAACGAAACAAGTAAAAAAACAAAACAAAATCAGACGTCACTCTGGAGAGATCTGTGAAGAAGAAATGTGCAGTGTAATAACTTTTTTTTGAGTATCTCACTTAGATACAACATACAAATATATAACATATAAATACAACACGGTGTCAAATATCAGCTTTCAGTTTTTACTTCACCTTCATGGAAACAATGAAAAAAGGTGAACGTGTTTATTTGAGTCCATGCAAGAAAAGATCACCAAAACCACAACTAGTGCTAGCAGTATACACACACACGCTCATATATAAAAATAATAACCATTTCTCGGTTTTCATTGGCCAGCATACCATGAGAAAAAAAGACAAAACTGTTTCAAAAGTCTGCGCTTTAAATATTCTGTGTGTAACCAGCTCCTGCAAATGTTTCTAATGTTCTTATTCAACATTGTTCTGACAAAATCTATTTGTTTGTTTGGCAAACTGCAAAAATCGGTAAAACAGGGAATTAAAGTCTGTGAAGAACTGACACTATTTCTACTAGTACAGATTGACACCTGGTATTTAACATCTGAAAAAAAAAAATCTTGGTGTTTCCTCCTGACAGGAATACATCTCTCTTGACTCCTACACGAGCGTCTGCGTTACTTCTACCTTCCACCTGAGGTTCCCAAAGGCCAAATTCCCTTGTCTAATGACGCACCTCAATATTTTTAATTTTATGCACAAATACTTGTTTTTTTCCCATTCAAAACAGTGATTAAAAGATTCTAGTGTCGCTTAAACCTCGGATGGTGAGTTCTTTGACAACACATTTCCTTCAATGAGTTTTTAAATGTGTACATGATGTACTGTAGTGTAGTATTTTGAGCTGTACTCATGATCGTCGTGCTAGTTCAGAAAGCCCTCAACCTTTGATTATGACGTCTGTCTGAAGTGACTGGACCGTCTGCTGTAACTGCTGCCTCACTTCCTCAATCTTTTTTTTCTCCTTTTTTGTACAGCTGCCAGGTTTCACAACAAGTTGAGTGACCGATTGGTGTGCAGTGTTGGACGAAGTACACCAACTAGATACTTGAGTGGAAATATAGTTACCTTATGTAAAATACTACACCAGTAAAAATTGAAGTATTCACTTTCGATTTTCATTCGAGTAGAATGAAGTATTTGCGTACATCCTGTCTGATGACAGACTTCAAGGACTGATTCTCAGCAGTATTTCTCATTTCACTGGCAGTTACCAAGGCCTTGAACATCAGCGTTTGATATATTCACTACCAAAAAGCTGGCTAGGCAGAAAAAAAACCAAACTAGTACAAGTCGGACAAATACGTGCTCATGCAGGATACGTCTTCAATCTCTGTTTCTTATGGTTACCAGAGAAAGGAGATGAATTCAGCTGCTCTGGCTGATAAATAAATGTGTCATCACTTCACAGATGATGTACACCATTCAGCACCATCTGTGTAGAGCATGGGTGTCAGACTCATTTTAAATCAGGTGCCACATACAGCCTGAAGCATATTAGTATATAAGTATAAGTATTCATATATATCGAAATATTATTGGAAAACAATCTCACATATATAATGTGTTTGTGAATTCTTTTACTTTAAAAATTCATCCTGTGGGCCGGATTGAACCCTCTAGTGGGCCAATTTTTGGCCCGCAAGCCGTATGTTTGACACCCCTGACTTAAACCAACGTAAGTGACTTTTAAGTTTTAGTGCAGAAACATTCTCAGTGGCCAGGCTGTCTCCGTGACACGACTTCATCATCCGCTGCAGCTGTTACAGAGCTGCCAACAACAATCGACACAAAAGAGCCGTGACACTGTGTCACTGTTGACTCCAGAGAAGGCAAACTGGCCGCTGGTTTACTCTGCCGTTTGCAAAGCTACAACCCATTCAATGGAAACCCAACACGTATATAAGATCAGGCCTCTACGTGCACATTCCTGACCCGTCTGTTGTCAACAATCTGATTGTTTTAACTGTTTATTTGAAAAAAGCTTCCACTCATAGGAGTTTCGTTTTGGTCCAGGCTTAAAAAGGTTTCTTCACTTCTTACAAATGTAAATGTGTGGATAGTTTAATTTCTTTATACGTATGTTGCCTGTCATGGCCTAACTGCAGCCCTAACATCATAACTTCTGACGTTAGGACTCCCCCTAGTGACCCGAGAAGGTTAAGCAGTAGTCATACTGCATTATTAACCACCTCTACAGCAGCCCACGACTGGGTTCCAAAATAAACATCGAATAAAAATGTTAGACAAAAATGTGATTTTTATTTTATTTTATTCGGTGTCTGGACCCCGAGGTGTCTATTCAGAAAAATTCTGGTCCTACAACAATTATAGTTGACCCCTGATGTAAACCAAAAAATGTAGTCAATGTGCCAAACTGAGCAGCATAAGAAGAATCTAAAACCCAGTAAATAATAATAATAATAAAAACATAAAAGGCAATACAATAATAAAACTCATAAAAGACAAGTTGCTGAAAGGTAAACTTCCCACTGTGATAAGTTGTGTAAAAAGAGTTCAAATTTTTGGTTTCAAACGGACCAAACTGAACTCACTTTGTTACTAATGACAAGACATATTTATTGTCTTCCATGGATGAAAACAGAAACTGTGTGTACAGAATGGCAATCACATGCAATACAAAAATATTAAATTTTACAGTAACAAAAAAAAAAACATGTATTGGCCCATTCTAAAAATTATACGGGTTTTTTGTACAGTGTTTCTGTACATGGAAAAAATATAAATATATACATATCTGTGGTGGCCATAGCAGTACCTATTCAAAAGTGTTGCAATGTCAATTACATAGAAAATGTTTGTACAAATATTAAAATCCAAGTCATTGTTATTATTAAATAATGTATTTACATTATACACCAGTGGGTTTGTAACATGTCTACAGCAATCTTTTCACAAAAACAAAAACAAAACAACAACCCTACATGATCCCAAACAGTATGTGCAACCCAATTGCATGTAAACACACACAAAACATAAATACATGCACACTGAAGCCAGTAACTACAGACAGCTCGCAATAGCACGCACAACAGGTAACGTTCAAGAAGAGTTAGGACGCTCGCTCCATGGTCCTGGTTTTTTTTTTCCTTTGACTGAAATCAGTCAACCTTTCAGAAGGCTCATTCGTAGTAACTTGTGTTTTTATAAAGTGCACTTACCAACTATATAGAACAGACACAACGTTTTATTTCTCCAATCTTTTAGTGTAAATAGAATGATCCTGCTCTGTTGTTTTTTGGGGGGTGAATTGTGAAAGCTTTATAAAACACGTCATGGATTGGTAATTCAGCATCTCCATTAGCACCTAATTTTAACACGCTTAGTGAAACTAACATATCAAAGACAACGAACAGGTAGTCATACAGTACATCACACCCAACCAGGTAAACTAACTACAGCTACAGGACGAAGCTGCCCTGGAAATCATCAAACACACTGATGGCAGAACAAAATGAGTAAAAAAAAGCTTTTAGTCACTGGATCTTAGCTTAAATGTAACATGAATGAAATGTTGTAACCTACAATCCCATAACCATCAGACTGAAGCCTAGCATCTGGTGTCTAAACCTCTAGGACAGTGTTTCCCAAACTTTTTTTTCTGGGGACCCATATTTTAAAAGTCACAAACCTTCGCGACCCAAGTCAACATGTTCCTGGGAAACATGATGCAAGACGACCCAAAAAAAAACAAAAAACTCTTGTGACCCACCTGAGGGCCGTGACCCAGTCTTTGGGAAACAATGCTCTATGATGTCTCCCTTATGTGCAAATCCCGAGCTTCAAAAACTAGACTTGGTTTTTGACGTGGAATGTCAACGTTTGTTTCTTTTCTACAGTCGATGGTCTGTCTGTATGGTAGCAAACTGACCTTTCAGTAATAAACAGCAGAGAAGCAGGAGCTGTGTGCACACCACAGACCACTGTGTAACAAATCAATCAGACAAAACGGAGGAGAAATATGACCATGAAGTTAATCTAGAGTCCCAGTGGAGCGGTTGTTCATCTCCAGAACAAAGAGCAGCTGTGCAGATGCAGATGCAGGCCTGCGTGACAACAACCACATCACCACAACGGCACAGAAAAGGTGGAGACGGCAGAAAGTCTGGCACCGCCAGGACGGGCCTTAGAGTAGCAGGTTAGTCTGAGTACTGACACCGGAGCCTCAGATTGATGCACAAGACAAAATTAAGAAAGTGAGGAGGTCAGGATCAGAGACAGAGGGTTGAAGATGATGGAGTTTGTCCTCCTCTTCCTCCTCCTCACATTGCTACCTCAGTCCACCAATCACCACGGACCACACCAAGTGATTAGGCACAGAAGACCTGGCTGTGTGTATTAGTGGAAGCAGAGTCAGAGCTTTGATCAGTCCTGTTAGACTTTAGGATTCAGGAGCATGCAAGGTAGACCCAGGCGTTTGCTGTGTGTTGGTTATGTGGTCAGTGCAACTGCTGCTACAACCTAGATTAGAAGAAGAAAGAACAAGAACAAGAAGAGAGATTGGACCAGTGAAGCAAACACAAGTGTGAGCTGGTTAGTTAAAGTGTGACAGGCCTGCAGTGGAAAAGCTTTAAAAGCAGTTTGGTTCTCAGCAGGTTTAAGATCATTAGTCATTTAAATTCAAAGCACAGAAAAGGTCATCCCATCCTAAAAATATTGTTTCTCCAACAAAGAAAACAACAGATCACAGTCTTTTTGAAAAGAACATAAATCTGCCTACAAAACAACTTACCAGCAAGAAACATGATGCAATTTTGCTTTTTCTAAAACTAGTCAAACACATCTCAGCAGGATTTTTTAAATCATTATAATTTCCAATGAAAATGTAAGCGGACCACATTTTGTGGTTTCAAAGATTCTTTCATGACAAGGTTGTATTTATATACATCATTTTTTTAATCTGGCCAACTCTTTAAACCCTGCTGATTCCTTATTGGCTACATCCTCAGCCAAGTGTTTTTACATTCAATGACCACAATATCTACCCAGTCACTTAGGCATTTATTTTTCTCGTCTTCTGAATACCAGAAAACATGATGCTATGAAGCTTACCATGAGAATTTACCTGAGGGTTTCGTTCGAGCATCTAAAATGTATCGTTATAACAAACTACCCACTAGTAAATAAACATTATATGACAATCCTCTTTATGGACTTTAGGTTCTTCTCCATCATAATGTTTTTTGTTTCAGCATTTTTTGTTGGAAGATAAGATTAAACAATACATTTAACATCAGTGTATGTAAACAAAAATGTTCACATTTCATTTAAGGGCAAACAGCTGAGCTCCTCAGTCGACACAGTTCAGTGGCCGTCACATCACGTGATTCAACAGTACACAGATATGAAATACTTTGAAAGGACATAAAATTAAGTCATTAACAAATAAAAGAGATCAAAAGAGACATTCAATTCATGTTCAGTGTCTTCACGTGCTCCAACCTAAATACCTACTCTGCAGACTTCCAGAAATGCCCGGGGTGGGACAGCCTGCGATTGAGTTTGGGCAACTTCTCCAGCATGTCAGCCAGCTGAGTGAAGGTGGGCCTTTCCCTCAGGTCGTACGCCCAGCAGGCGGACAGGATCTCCTGAAACCACAATTCATTGTTTCTCATTGTATAACTAAACATTATTCCCAGTGGCATCAACATCTTTATAAACTCACAGTAACTTCCTTGCCGAGGTTTATCTTGGCCAGAACCTTCTTTATGCCCTCTCCACTTCCCACCTGCCAGATGGTTGCTTCCATAGGCTGGTTCGTGATTGGCCAGTCCCGTGCTTGAAGCTCATACCAAATGGTGCTTTGAAGGATGAGGTACAGGAAGAGTGTTATGTTTAGGTGAACATGTCACCTGAGTTGTTGTATCTTAGACAAGTAGTGTGTGTTCAATGAGTAGAGCTCACCCAAAGGCATACACATCTGCTGCAGTGGAGAAAGGCAGTCGGTCTTCATTGTTACCTGGACTCATCCTGCGCACAATCTCTGGAGCCAGATAACAAATCCAGCCGTAAGGAAGTCTAAGTTTATTTTCACGCCTGAAAAAAGAAATAAGACTCAAGTTGAAAAATAATGCAATAAAAATTATGAACAAAATGATGCATTACAGCTTGTTAATCTATTGCAAAGTATCCTGGCCTACTGCTACGATGCAGAGGTTTTTACACCTTGGCAGAGGTTTTTACACCTTTGATGTAAAACATGTCTCCAAAATGATATATAAGAATGAACTAAAGTAGTAATCCAAATTATGGAAAATATACTACCTTATCCTAAGGTAATAGTTTTTGGTCTTCATTTAGGCATGTTAGTTTTTAGATCGATAATTTAGAACTGGTACCTTCAAAAGGATACTGCGATATCTTTAACTTCCTCTTTGAAAAGTTTGCACAGTATCGGGAAATCACACTTCCTGTGACTTCACAACAGGAGTTTTTTAAGCAGCCAGATGGACTGTTCCATATGATTTTGTCCAATCAAAATGAAGTTGTGGAGTTTTCTCCCATGTGTCTTTACTCATTTTACTTTACAAGACGGTATTAGTATTATTATACTGGAAACAACATGTTGAAATTAGCTTTATTATGGCATTAAGTCCATAATCAAATATTGTGTCAAAAATAGCTAATAATAATAATAACTAAGAGCAGCACAATAGAATCAGCACAATGGAAAATTGTGTTAACAATGGGATTCGTCAGTGTAAGTTAAATGATGCATGCAGCAAAGAGTGGCATCACTGAGGATCATCAGTTCATGTCACGATCTCACCTTCCTTCCTGAACAACTCCTGAGATCCCGAACAGCCCAAAGTCTGTGATCACGACTTTGTTGGTGTCATGAAACACATTCTTTGACTTCAGATCTTTGTGAACAATTCCTTTTGCATGAAGATAACCCATTCCCTGCACAGGAACATCGACAGCAGCAGACACAATGTTTGACACAAATGTTTGTAGCACAGTTTATATTTCTCGCGCTTCATTATAAAAGTAATGTGGCAGTAGCTTTTTTTAAATCATAAATCATAACAAAACACAGACATTTCAGCTAGCTTTTTTTAAACAAACAAACAAACAAACAAACAAACATTACCTTAACAATCTCCTGAGCGATTTGTCTGGTCTTGTTGATATCCAGGGTGTTTTTAGAGTCCCTGACAACTGAATACAGTGTCCTCCCTTTACAGAAACTGTGTAAATACAGAAGGAAAAAGAATTATGGAGAGGGAAAAAATAATGTTTATGTTAAATCAGTGTGTAGAAGAGTTGGCAAACCTGGTAATAATAGCTAGATGTGGTGGAGCCATGCAGGCTCCCATGAAGAGCACCACATTCTCATGTCTCGTCTGTCTGTAGTTCATCACCTCCTTCTTAAAGAGTTTCAGATGATCCTGGTTGTTTCCGTCGATCTCCAGCAGCCGTATGGCTACCTCCCCATGCCACCGGCCCTTGTGAACTCGGCCCCAGCGACCCTGTCAGGGTCAAAGATAACCTTTAGCAAACTGACACATGTGGGGGCTAACGTTCGGATGCTAAACCTTCACCTTTCCTATGAGCTCTCCAAGGTCCAGCTGCTCAAAGGGGATGTCCCACTCCTGAAGGTAGACGCTGGTCTGAGAGCCTTTGCGGGAGATGGGTCCCTTCCACATGTTGCCCTGAGAGCTGGGCAGGTCGTCCAGATTGTCGCCATCCAGCTCCCCGTCTGAACCAACATTCATCCGGATCTCCTCCATGTCGTCCTCATCTTCATCTTCATCTTCGCTGTCATTGCGATGCTCCCTGTCCTGTTTGTTTTTCTTCTCCAGTGTTCTTGCATCTTCATCCTCAACGTCCTCCTCTTCTTCCTACAATGGTTGATATGTAACTACCAATGGAAGACTACAGTCTGTAGAATAAGTTAAACCTCTGGATCGATCTATCACATGATCAGAGGGTAAAATATGCAGCATATAAAAATATCTGACGGCCGTGACAAAACGATTGCTACTTAAATGAGTCTCGGGTCGCCAGACATCTGTGATGTCAAAATAGGGTCCCAAGCCCAAAAAAGGGAACGTTGGGAACGCCTTCTTTAACCTGTTACCTCTTCGTCTTCATCTTCTACCAGCTCAGCATGTACGTCCTCTGCTTGCTCCATCTCACTGCTGTGAGACAACATAAGTGATGTTACTTAGGGTTAAATATAACTCTGTTATCACCATAACTCCATCTGATACATAAATAAAAAACAAACAAACAAAGTCTTACACAGTGTCTTCAAGGACATCAGTGTGCAGACTTGAAGGACTGGAAACATCTGCAAAAGAACCCAGTATTGACTTAGGAAGAAACCAAATACTGATTATCTTTGACATAAAGATGACAAATGCTCGTGCAGATCGACTCAGTCCATGCATTTTCATAAACTCTACTGAGACACTAGGACCACAGAGTGAGCACAGACCGAGAGAGGAAGGGTTAGAGTAACGAACAAACTGTTACTGGTCACTCACCAGGGAAGATAAACTGCTGTCTATGCTGAAAGTAACAGGCAGCTTTTGCAAAAAAGAGAAAGCAGGAAGACAAGGAAGAACAATGTTGGCCAACTTTAAACTGATTACATTAAAAATCAATTCAAAGCAGAGAGAAAAGAAAAGAGTAGTGTGGTCTACAGTAGGTATATGAGAAATGATATTTATACTATACCAAGCTGGAACACCAGGTGGCAGCACTATGTAGCTATGATTACCTGGAAAGTTGAATCGACTTTCTCGGTGACCTTTCGGGGATGGGTTGGGTGGGGGTGTGGCACTGAGGGGGTTGCTCTGCTGGAAGGGTGCTGGAGATGAAGGTGTAGATGAAGTGGTGGAGGATGGATTGCTGCTGGAGTCCAGCTGGTTCAGAACCGGTGGATGATCCTGGTGAATGCATGGAGAACTCATCAGGACTCACCAATGATAATAATAGAGCTGAGACACAGACACTGCTGTTGCACTCATTTTACTAAAAGGTACACATTTGAGAATATGTTTTAAATCTGTTTAAATTACTTTTTTACTGCAAGATAACACTCTATGAGTACAAAGTTACCTTGGTTTTAGATTTAAAAAGTCCTTTTTATTTGCCAGTGTCCAAAGACAAATTCCTTAAAACATTTTTAGCACATTTTCAAAATAAAATGTACTTCCTTTACATAACCACAATTTAAAAAAAATATTTTTTCTTTACCTTCTTTGTAATGGCTTTTGGTAGTGTGCCGAACTGTGGTGCCTCTGGTGGACGATCCACGGGGTTGTTGATGTCGGACGGGACGGACTCAGTCCTCCGAATTTTAGCAACTGGATCAGAAAATGGAAAACGTCACAATAGTTGTTTTAATGCAACGTACACTGAGCATAAGAGATAAAAATATCTTACTTGGTAGAAAGGAGATCCTGCAGGAAGGAGCGTCCTTGGTGCATTTGTTATGGCACTTTAATCTGCATGAAAAAAATACTAATTAAAGAATATTTGCTTTCAATCATATAAAAAGCATTTGTTTGAACAATAAAAAAATGTCTCGTTTCATTTTCACATACATGAAAAACTATAACTGATCCCTCCAAAGTCAGGTTAAGGCAGATTCATTTTTACTCACCGGCAGTGTTTGCACTTTACCCCAAACATCATGTTCTTCTGGCACACCTGACAGGTCTGAGAAAGCCAGGATCTGGTTGAAAACCTTAAAAAAATAAAATAAAATAAGTTTTTGCACTGGCTCTTAATTGGAAGTCACAGTTTTTTCCTATGTAACTGATTTTATCAAGTCTGTCATTAAATAAATCAATGGTATGATGTGGTGTGGTGATGCTGCACGAGCTTAATCTAATACTTAATAGGACAAAAATAATTTTGCATAAAGAACAGGACTTTTAATTGGTCATGTGTCAGGTCATGTGGCCTTTGATTTAAAAAGATAATATTTATGTTTTATGTCGTATTAAGTCATTTTCCAATATATCCAAAATAAGAGATTATCCACCTCTGTAGTTTTATTTCAGTTTGTTAACATATCCAAAATAAGAGATTATCCACCTCCGTAGTTTTATTTCAGTTTGTTTCTAACGTTTGACCAAAGTTTGTGAAAAGAGAGCGGGGGGAGGGGAGGGGGAGAGGGAGCGAGAGAGAAAGAGAGAGAGAGAGAGAGAGAGAGTGAGAGAGAGAGAGAGAGCACCTTTGAAACCTTTCACTCAAAGCCACTGGCATTCACAGACCTAAGGTGGCTTTGATCCACCTAAAGCCTTGACTAACTGCAAACACATACAAGTCAACCAAGAGCTGAGACTGGGAAATAAGAATTCACACAACATCGGATGAAGTAAAGAGACATTTACACCAACTGCCAATGAATGCCACAAGTGTAGAAAATTCACTTCACATTAAACTGACTATTTAGTGGAAAAGACTTAACAAAAGAGCAGAAAAACACAGAAGACAACCACTCCAGAGATCAGAAATGGAGCGGGAGTTAATCTGCTGTCCAATTTGTCGAGATTTGCTGAAGGTGCCGGTGACAATTCCCTGTGGACACAGCTTCTGCATGAGCTGTATTACAATGGACTGGGACAATAAGAAAGGGAAGAGAATCAGCTGCCCTCAGTGCAGGAAGACCTTCAGACAGAGGTCTGATCTGATAAAAAACATCATGTTGGCAGATTTAGTCATAGAGCTAAAAAACAGCATACTACACACTTCTGATGACCACTGCTACGCCGGGGCAAAGGACGTGGCCTGTGATTGCTGCACTGGGAGAAAATTAAAGGCTGTCAAGTCCTGTTTGGTTTGTTTAGTTTCCTACTGTGAGAAACACCTGCAGCCTCATTATGAATCACCTGCATTTGAAAAACACAAACTGGTCGACCCTTCCAAGAAACTGCTGGAGAATATCTGCTCTCGCCAAAATGAGGTCATTGAGATGTTCTCACAAAGCGATCAACAGTCTATCTGCCACATCTGTGTTTTGGATCAGTATAACAGTCTGTACGTAGAGGAAGCAGAGGTCAAACGCCCTGTGACCATGTTTCAGAAATTCTTCTGTTGGATGAAGAAGAAGAGACCCTCTGGTGTAAAGCTGCAGATCAGATCCCTGTAGGACATTAAAATTGAGTGAAGACTGAGCTGCAGGGGGCGCTGTAGCAAGAGACACACGTTTTCAATAATGGAGATTTCACAACAACTCTAGTACGGTTTTTATTGTCCAGAATAATCCTGGTTACTGGAGTTAAAAAAGATACAAAAAAAGAGAGAAAACATCAAAAATATATATATATATAAAAATTTCAAAGACAAAAAAATTTGCAAAAATCTGTACTCACTCAAGATAAACGATTCTTGTGAGAGCTAAAATAAACCTTGTTATGGTACAACTGCTGTTGGCCTACATGTGTGACCCAGCGATGACCTGGTCGGATGGATAATCTCGCAATGATTTAAGGCCTCAGTTATATGGTTGTTGCCTACAGTTTGTTACGTTTTTTTTTTAATATGTTTATTGTTTAGTTCAGTCCTTTTAATAAATGCTACCATACAATTACTTTCTTAATCGTGTATTTTTTTATTTTATTTTTTGCCTTGTCACCCATTAACTGCAGAAAAGCTTCCCAAATCTCTGCTGCCTGTATTTTTTTTCCCCCAATCACAGTGCAACAACATTCTATTTTTAGTTTGCAGCAGTTTCCAGAACACAATCAGGGAACACAGTTTGACTAACTGACACTGCCGCCTGAGGACCTGGTTAACTCATACCTGTGTGTGATTGCAAGGCCAATGTCCCTCCTCACTGCTTGCGGCGAGCTGCGGTGCACTGCTCTGTTATCTGGAGAGAGAGAACGAGAGATTTTTAGTTAGAAATTAATGTTAACGTTAATTCACACATTTTAAAGTTAATTCACCGTGTTTGCGTGCATGCGTTTGTGCATGTGTGAAATATACATTTCTCAGAGATGAACTGACTAAAGTCAGCTCAAATAAAATATTGGAAATTCTGAAATTCATGTCTTGCAAACCTGTGTTCAAAAACAAGCCAAAAATTCAACTGCCCCCAAAAAATGAGAAAACAAAGCCATGATCTCCGACTCACTCTTCAAGCTGCTGTGCTCCTCCAGGAGGGTGGGCGTGCCAGGAAGAGTGTAAGGGCTGTTGGTAGGAGCTGTGGTGACAGCGGTCAAACGTGCAGACAGAGCAGGGTGACGGGAGGAAAATTCTTCACATCCATTCCCATTGACTTGCATATTTAGGAACAACTTATTCTTTCTAACACCCCTAAAAAAGAAGAAAACACGAAAGGTATAAATGTTTTCTAAAATGCCGTTGTATATTTATAATGGTCAGTGTAGATTATTCTGTTCAAAACTTGCTTTTTTTGATACGCATATGTTCCATCTATGTCAAAAACAAGTCAAGTCACATTTTCAAAAAAAAGGACAAGAGCAGATAAATCCTAATCTTCAAAAACAGAGGCAAAACCTGTACAAAAACTCAGAAATGCAATGTATAAATATATTTACACACACACACACACATATATACACACATATATATACGCAAATATATATTCATATATATGTGTATATATATATAAAATTCAGTCAGTTACATTTTTAGGTCAAGCACGTGAGCACCTACGTGTTCGTAGGAGGGTCTTCGATGCGGTTTCCAAGCTGGGACTCGTGGCTCTTGCTGCGTGTCAGCGTGATATTAGGAAGAAGATGAAGTACTTTGCGGGACGGGGGCGGAGGCGTGCAGGGCGGCTTCAGCCGGTGACACCTCCTCGACAGGGGAGTTATAGGAGGGGTTGCGGTTTGAGGTAAGGACATGGGAAAGGGATCGGTGAGGGGGCTTTCACTGTGGAAGTGGGCCTCAGGTGTGGGTGCTGATGACATGGAGCCAGAGCGGGGATGTGGAAAGGTAGCACAGGGAGTGCATGGTGTGGACTGGACAGTGTAAGGTCTCGCTAAAGGGGACGGACTGTGGAAGCGGAGGGGCGTGCCCAGGTTAGAAAGCTGCTCTGCAGTCATTAGAGAGCCACTGTCTCTCTTGGTGGGCTCTGACAGCCATAGACCTGCGTCTCCTCTCAGTTCACCTCCTGCACAGAAGTCAAGACGTTAACGTCCAAAATACTGAGGATCATTTCAAAACAGAAAACAGACGTACCATGAAGTACAGTATGACATTACCAAAGAAAAGGTACAGAGGTCACAAAACAAGTTCAAAATGTACTGTCTGGTAGAACGTTCTTCTTTTGGCGGCGTCACCACTGTGGATCATCTCACCCTTTCTCATGGTCACCCCCAGTGAAATTCTCAGCATCTTCATCTCCACAACCTCCATTTCATCTTTTGTTTGTTAGACAGAACCTAAGTTCTAAAGAGTTCCTAAATCATACATCATAGCAGGTCTCACTACTGTCTTATAAAACTAGTTTGTTTTTTTTTTCAACTTGATACTGAATAGTGTGTTGCCTCTTTTTGAAGCATATGTCATTGTTGACATCCAGGTGACTTTTGGACCAAAAACAAATATTCTCAAAACAATTCCTACCTCACCCTACCACCCAAATTATTTATCAATATCCAAAACCATTCAACCCTGCACCTGACCAGACAGAGCACACATACCTGTTTCGGTGGCACTTTTCAGACAGGAGAGGGCAGCAATGAGTCTTGCACATTCTTCTGAACCTGAACCGAGTCTTCGCATCGTATCACTCACTTGAGCACTTGTCATCTGGAGTAAGGCATCCAGGGACAACTCTGCTTCTACTGCCTACAGGCCAGGGAAGAACAATGTCTTTTTTTAAAATGTGAAGACAAACTTCAGTAACAAACATGAACATTGGTGGTCATTCAACCAGGTCATTCAATTGTTTCCTTTAACTCAAACTAACAGATAATAAACAATAAATTTTGGACTCATTTCTGTCTCTGCGAGGAAGTCGAATCCTTAGTTTACCTGATCAGTGAACCATCATCTCCGGCTCTAAAGGCACACACTACATCCTTCTTCCATGCATTGACACTTTTATTACCATACACTCAAACATATAATCAGGATATATCAACAGTGAAGTTGGCTTGGAAACACGTGGGTTTGTTTGAGAAAGAACAAGATTATCTAGTTACTGTGATCAGTCACTCTTGCCTGCCTTATGTGTAGGCAAAATTATGAAAATGGTAGTAAACAGTATCTGTCTTGTAAACATATTAGCAGGGTCTAAAACAATAAGCCTAAGATACAGCCATCCCCCAGGTCACACCGACTCTTCTCGAAGAGAACATCACCTACCACTATGAGCCCTTCTCGCAGGTTGATAGTGTGAAGCCAGTCTTGTAAGTGTGGGAAGTTGTCCAGGGCCGCGGGCCGCTCTGCTTCTGGCACTTTGTGTTTGCACTGTAGCTGCTTACAGATGTATTTCATCAGCTTCACCTGGGGAGGGCAGTAAAGAGTCAAAGAGTAGTAACGTTACTTTTATGACTGTCAGTCACACAGCTGTAGTTCTTATTAAAATGGAAAAAGGACTTTTCAATTTAACACTATTATTCAATACATTTCTCTCCTTACTTTGTAAGAGTTCAACTGCTAAACTGTATAAGTTTTCTCAGTACAAGGTTCTGTTGACATAGACAACCATCTTACATTGTACCAATCAGTTGTAGCTTGACAGGAAGTTCAGTTGAAGAGCCTCAAAGAGCTCAAAGATTCAATTTAAAGATTTGCATTACCAAAATAGGTCAAGATAAGGCTTCCGTCAGATCATACATCTCTTCATTGTCTCCAGGGAACTCCTTTAGTGTTTACAAACTCTGAATGAGCTTTCTTCCTGCTAAGTATAGTAGCTTTCTAAAGCAGTGTTTCCGGAGACCCATATTTTAAAAGTCACAAACCTTCACGACCCAAGTCAATAGAAATTATCCATAAACTCCATGGAAACATGGTGCAAGATGACCAAAAAAAAAAAAAAAAATCTTGCGACCCACATGAGGGTCACGACCAATGTTCTAAAGCACTGATAGGACATGAGACACAATTTAACATTTGCCTAAGCCCTAAACCTTTATTCAAAATAAAACCCATCACTAAACCATTACCGTTTCTTTTTGTTTGTTTTTTTCTTTATTTTTTATTATTTATTTTTAGTCTTCACAAACACAGGTATAGATGTTACCCTACTGTATACTTCAGCTCAGTTTAAACTAAAGACAAGTGAGTAACACGTCTATTGCACGCTATGGTATTGGCTTGCATTGGCTCACCATGTACAGCTCCCAGCATCCCTATAAAGTGTCTTCTTATCTCATGGTCTATCTGTAACAATCCATTAAAGCAGCCATGCTACACCAGCTAGCTATCGGTCCACAACACACCTCTTAAGTATCTGAGTGACAATGAAAACCAACCACACAGTTTCCTCTGCTTCATCGGCATCTTTTGACAATAGATCAATATACAAAGAATAATATAGAAACTATTTGGAAGCATTTGATAAGCTAGAGCAGGCATGGGCAAACTTTTTTATGTTATCTGGCCACAGGCCACAATAGTTCCTGAAAATGTGACAGGGGGCCGGTCAGTTGATGGAGAGCTCGTATATACTAAAACAAATGACATGTAAAAGTCATAAAATGCTAAAAAAAAATTAAGCTACGCCATCTATTGGAGAAATGGGGACATTGAAGGGAAAAGGCAGAAAAGGCAGAAGTATAATGATAATAGCTATTGTGGTGTGTGGGCCAGATTAAAAAAAACAAAATGGGCTGCATTCGGCCCCCGGGCCGTATTTTGCCCATGCCTGAGCTTGAGTAAAATTTTCAATAAGCCCAAAGGAACAAAAAACAAAACAAAAAACAGACAGAGCTAAAAAAAAACTCCATAAAATAACACGATGGTTTGCTGGCTGTAGATACAGTAGTTGTTAACTAAAACCCGTACCCGTTAAATAATCACTGGTACTGTTCATGTTTGAATACATGCACAGCATATTGCTGTTCATGTTTGAATACATGCACAGCAGTAACATATTGAATGTACGAGGTTTTACAGTCCCATCTAAAACGTTAAACGCTCTGTTCCATGTTTTTGTATAGCTCTGCACATTAACCACCTGTTGTAGGACACGTTCGGTGTCCTCATAGAGCTAGATGCTAGCCTAGGTAAATAAGGATGGTTTTGTCAGGAAAGGCAACTGGCATCACACATGCCAAAACAAACATGATGACCAATAACAGGACTACAGTATGACACTTGATTACACGTGGTTTCATATATTAATAAAGAGAGTAGGAACAGACTTGGCAGGAGTGTAGAGGAGATGGTAGAGAGTTCTAACACGGTGACCACGACTGGCAGGAAAAGAGAGTAAGGTCAGGACAATGGTAGGAAATTTCAGGATTTTTAACTCTGTTGAAGATGTACTGAGGAACAGAGTGGTGATAATCCACAGTAAGTTGACTTGTTTCCTCATGATACCTGTGTGAGTAACATTCTCCACTGAAATCTCCCAGGACCCATACACGCAGACACTCAGGCACAGGGAGACAAAGAGCCAGCAGGCCAAAAAACAAAGAGCAGAATAGTGGACTTTTAACGTCAGCAGACACAGTCCAGCAGACTGCCCGTGGCTTCTCCCCTTCCCTTTCCTTCACACGGCTCCTCCACAACACGTCATTTGATTTTCTTATTTAACAACCAACCCTGAAAATGCGTAGGACGAAAGACGTCTAAATATAGCTGCAGCCACAACACCCCTCACCACAGAGAAGAGCTCTCTCTCTCTGTCTCTCTCGACAAAACAGGCCTATGCTTCACTGTTTCCTCATCATTCCAGGAAGCAGAGGGAATAAACATGGGGAATAAACAGCAATAACTGATAACAAGTCTGAAACCTGGATGTGTAAAATAACTATAAAATACTGCAGTATATATCTGTTAACATAGAGGTTTTATAAATGTTGTTTACTTACAAACGTAACAATACGATGCTGTTTTATAAAGGCATTTGCCCGTACATGACAACGTACTTTTTCTACTTAATAAAGAAAACAAATACCACCATTGGTTCCTTACACATCTGCCTTACATGCAGAAGGTCCTGGGTTCGAGCCCCAGAGGAACCACACCCCCATGTGGCAGCCTTTGTGAGATGCAAAGATTCACGATGTGGATTTTCCCCATTGTGGACGAATAAGGGACTCATTTGTTTTTCTATTTGATCATGGATAAGGTGGGGAACATGTAGCAAGCAACCAAAACAAAAAGGCTAAACTTGTTTATGATAAATGGAGGCAAAATAGACAGTCACAATTAATAGTTATCTATCTGTAACAATATCTGTAACATCTGGTTTGGAGGACCTCAAACATTGCAAACATTTTTTACCTACTTCATTTCTGAGAAAAGAAGGTTTGGGGAGATCGTTCAGTCCACTGGATTATTACAGAGTGCAGTAAAAACACTGGTGATCAGAATGAATGGGATTAACATGTGCACAGTGAAGTAGCAGTTCACACTTTATTTGAAGGGCCACTATCATTATCCTCTCACTGGAGAGGCCAAACCAACACACAGTTCAAGTGGAATAATAAAGCCCTCGCAATGAAAAAGTGTGAGTGTGTTAAGAGCCTCTCTCTGCTGCCCCACAGTGCAGTAGGGGAGCGATAAAGACTTTCTCTTTGCATCCTGATCACCAATCTGCTTACACATTAAATTTTTTTCTTCCAAGAAATTTTTCATTGACAACTGATAACTTTAAAATTCTTACATCAAGTGTAATCACCTAGAATAAAGTGATATTACAGACATAAAAACAAATGCATCTTTTTAGCTGCATCAGAATCCAAGTATTAAAACAGGTCACCCTCCCAATGGACGACCTGTTTTGGTGTGATGCTTTGCTAGTCCGTGGCAGCTGCATTTCCTTTGCAGTGGGGTGCATCACTACTTCCCGTACTCCGTGCACATTACTACTAATGGCACTAATGGGTCTGTGCATCACTACTGCCAAATTGCCAGCACACCACCAGCACTGCAGGGTGCCCGACATCCACTACAATTGACACTGCTGCAAAAACATAACAAACTTTTTAGCCATTTCATTAACTGAGGGTTTGATTATATTCAAATGGAAGTAAAGTGTTCCTTTCATCCAGGGTATGATGCATAAATAAACCATCAATGTCCATACAACATTACCTCCACAGCCAGTCTCTCTGTAGCCTTTTCTGAAGGTGTAACATTTTACCTGCTGCAAGATCACATTTACAGGTTCCAAGTCAAATCCTTAGATAAGCCTGGACCTCTTTTCACCATTCATGGATTTTGTTTAATGTTTTATTTGTTACAAAAGTGGAACCACGAAATAATTATAATCCTTAGTAGGTGGCAGAATAAAATATTTGATGAACAGGACCAAATATGGGCATAAACTGTTGTAAATAGTTAGCAAAACATCTGCAGTTGGCATCAATGAATTTCATTTTATTTTTTTCAGATGACACAATAAAAGTCAGACTTGACAGTGTAAACTAATGCTTGATGAGAACACCAATAAAACATGTGCAATGCAACGTATAAACTACTCAGACTGTCTACGGTGGATGTGATCCAGCAGAGGGTGCTCTAAGCGAAGCTTACGTGTAATCTCCTGCGGAGTAAAAGAAGACGATGTTTGTGTTATTGTATTGTGAGTAAACAATGTAAACACTCTTGAGTTAGGCAGCAACCCATGTAAAAGAGACACAGGTAGAACCAGAAGGCGAATTATTCATGACGCAGGGGTACACTCATTTAAAAGCATCCATCTTTCTACTACAGCTAACGTTGCGTTGATTGGTCACTCAGTTTGATACACCTGGTTATTGCAGAAACACAGTACAGAGTAGTAGTACAGTCGGCCGAGTACCCAAACTACTATTTATTTCTCTGAGAAGACAGCAAAATCTTCATTTAATTT